AGGTGTGAGCCACCATGCCCAGCCTAAAATATTTTGCTCAGCTTTGTCTGTTTTCTTTATTTCACAAGTTGGTCAAAATTATCTTGTCTACTTTTAATGCAAAAATCCCCCACACAAGCAAAAACAGAAATTGTCTAAATGTCAAAATATAGGATATGGATAAAACCAAATGCAGTTTTGAAAAGTGAAAAAATATTTGGCCATTAAGGATATTTTATCAAGACAGAATAGAGACATGGAAAGAGTTCACAACATATCATAAAATTTTAAATGCAAGTTACTCAAGGATATTGGCTGGGCACAGTGGCTCATCCCTGTAATCCTAGCACATTGGGAGGCTGATGCAGGCAGATCACTTGAGGTCAGGAGTTTGAGACCAGCCTGGCCAATTTGGTGAAACCCCATCTCTACTAAAAATACAAAAATTAGCCAGGTATGGTAGCCAGCACCTGTAATCCCAGCTACTTGGGAGGCTGAGGCATGAGAATTGCTTGAACCTAGGGAGTGGAGGTTGCAGTGAGCCAAGACTGCAGCACTGCACTCCAGCCTGAGCACCGGGCAATAGAGCGAGACTCTGTCTCAAAAATAATAAATAATATTTAAGACATGATCTCATTTTTTATAAGTGTACACAAAACCCTAAAATCTAAACTGAAGTGCAGGAAACAATGAAAAAATCGATCAATACAAAATAATTACTTGGGCCAGGCACAGTGGCTCATGCCAGTAATCCCAGCACTTTGTGAGGCTGAGGCAGGAGGATCACTTGAGGCCAGGTGTTCAAGACCAGCCTGGCCAACATGGCAAAACCCTGTCTCTGTTAAAAATGCAAAAATTAGCTGGGCATGTTGGCATGTAATCCCAGCTACTCAGGAGGCTGAGGTGTGAGAATCACTTGAACCCAGGAAGCTCACCACAGCTTCAACCTCCCCAGCTCAAGCAATCCTGCCACCTCAGCCTTCCAGTATGAATGCTTGGTGCTAGCGTAATCCCAAGCCCAGGGCCACTGTGTTAGTCCATTGTTGTAAAGGAACACCTGAGGCTAGTAATAGACGTGAGGGCCCTAACACCCCATGGAGACTGAGCGTTGGTTCCTAACCTCTCCCATTTTCCCTTTCTCTTTAATAGAATGTTACTCTGAGACCACAGAGCATGATGGCACCCAGTTGCTGAGCTGGAATTGTGCAGTCTTAATATCTAAGCTCCCTTTTCTGGACCCACTAGGCATGAGGCAGGGGGCATACATTAGACAAGTAATAATGGTTTGTTCAATACTTAGTTCCACTCTTTCAGATATAAATAATTCTACCCATTTATAAATGAAGAGATAGAGGCTCCAGTAGGAGGAGAAGAGGCTGAGTAATTGCATATTCTAGAGGCTGGAAGGCTCATTTTAAGCATCTGTTATGAATTGAATGTTTATGTCTTAGTTTTGTGGAAGGTAGAATTTGTAAGTGATAAAACCAGATATTTAGTTTAGATTTTTTTTTATTTTATTTTATTTTATTTTTTGAGATGTAGGCTTGCTCTGTCACCCAAGCTGGAGTGCACTGGCTCAGCCCCACGTCACTGCAACCTCTGCCTCCTGAGTTCAAGCAATTCTCCTGCCTCAGCCTCCTGAGTAGCTGGGATTACAGGTGCACACCACCACGCCTGGATAATTTTTGTATTTTTAGGAGAGAAGGGGTTTCACCATGTTGGTCAGATTGATCTCAAACTCCTGACCTCATGATCCACCCACCTTGGCCTCCCAAAGTGCTGGGATTATAGGTGTGAGCCATCTCACCCGGCCTTTAGTTGAGATTTCTAAGCAAAACAAGGAAGGTGTGCCCTGGTTCCTCCTGACTGCTTACAGTAAAATCTGAGAAGACAGAGAATTGAAATGATTGGCAAAAGAGAACCAGAACTTAAGGATTTGTAAAATTCTCAGGCTATCCATATTGCAAAAGAGAAGCATGTTCTAAAGAAAACACTAAGGATGTGGCTGGATTTCCACTCAACAGAGAAATTAAGGAATTATATGAGCAAAAACACTGTCAAATTGAAGTGAAGTGATAAAGAAGGGAAGGCGACTGGTCTTCTTAGGTTTTGCAGAATGGGACAATAGAGCTATTTGGTTGAGAGATGCACTATTCTTCGTAAGGGAAGAATGACCCCAAAGATCATCAAGGCTGCCTCCTTGGTTTCAAAGAATGAAGACACCACCTCTTCAGTTTAAACAGACCAGGCTAACCCTCCCTGGAGCCTTGTGGGCAGGGCCACTCCACAGAATTGTGGGGTGGGACAACCACTGAGGGCCGGGGGGGGTAGAGGCCACTACCCCAGGTAGGAAAGGCATTGAGCCAAAGAGGTTTTTTTGTTTGTTTGTTTTTTCCTAGAGATGGAGCTTCACTCCTGTTGCCCAGGCTGGAGTGCAATGGTGCAATTTTGGCTCACTGCAACCTCCATCTCCTGGATTCAAGCAATTCTGCCTCAGTCTCCCAAGTAGCTGGGATTACAGGAGTGCACCACCATGCCCAGTTAATTTTGTATTTTCAGTAGAGGTGGGATGTCACCATGTTGGTCACCCTGGTCTCCAACTCCTGATCTCAAGTGATCCACCCATTTCAAGTGCTGAGATAACAGGCATGAGCCACCATGCCCAGGCACTAAAGAAGTCATTCTCAAGCCTTAGATCTAATGGAATTTGTCTTGCTGGTTTTGGACTGGCTTGGGACCATCACCCCTTTCTTTCAGATTTCTCCCTTGTAGAATGGGAATGTCTATCCTATGCAAATGCCACCACTACATTTTGGGAGCACATACCTTGTCTGGTTTCACTGATTTCATAGCTGGAAACTTTGCCTCAGAATGAATCATACCTCAAGGATCATCCTTTTATGATTTAGATAACATTTAGATGACACTTTGGATTTTAGATCTATAGAATTAATGCTAGATTGAGTGTTGGGATGGAATGCATGCATTTCAAATGCAAGGACATGGACTTTGAGGAGCTAGGGGCAGAATATAATAAATGAATTGTTTGTGTTCCCCCAAAATTTATATATTGAAGCCCTAAGCCCTAGTGTGGCTTTATTTTGAGAAAGGGCCTCTTTGGCAGCAGGGAAGGTTACATAAGGTAGTAGGATTGGGGACCTGATCTGATAGGCTATGTCTCTGAAAGAAGAGATACTAGAGCACAAGCTCTCTCTCCCCTATCCCCCCACCATGAAAATCATGAGGAAATGCCATGTGACGATATAGTGAAAAGGCAGCTATCCAGAAGCCAGAAGCACTTACCAGAAAGAGAATTTGCCAGCAGCACCTTGATGATGGACTTTAAGCCTACAGAATTATGCAAAAATAAATGAGTCTGTTGTTTATGCCAAGCCTGTGGTATTTTGTTATGGCAGCCCAAACATCCCAATCCTTGCCCACTCCCAGTATACCCATGGGACCTTCAAAAATCCATACTAACAGAAAAACAGACTGTCATCTCAGGAACTGAAGGAGGAAGAGTCTTGGCTGGTGGAAGCTTGAATGATTCCCAACTCTGTATGAGCTCTGGGAAGTGTTTGTCTTCGAGTTCCCCAATAATTGCTCCTTTGGCAGCAGCTGTTCTTTGCCAAGCTTTAAAGAATTGACCCATTGCATATGCAGATTGGTACTCAGATTTCGCAAGCTCTCTCTGCTAGCTCCCTTTCCAGTATGCCAGTCCACATACTACAGCCTTAACCTTCTTGAACTCTGAAATATTTATGCTTCCTAGAATATGTTTGGAGTTATTTCTATCTTTGCCATAGTCTGGGAATTTCCTTCTGACAAGAAGCTGTGCCAATCACAGAACTGGCCATATTTGCTTCCTTTCTTTCAGGAATCACGATTGTGCAATTCCTAATATCCAAGTCTTAAAACAATTGTTTCATACATTTTTCCAGTTTTCTAGTTATTTCAAATTCATATGTCTTGGCCAGTTTGCCAGCTGTTTAAGACAACAAATCCTGGAGAATGGGTGGAAGCAAAAATTCCTTTCATGGGTGGAAGCAAAAATCCTTTAAATAATGTATTTAACTGTTGCATAGTTTATTATTCCATTTGGCTGACTGAGTTTACAATCACACTGTATGGGTTCTTTTTTGTTTAATAATACATTTTTATTATAGAGACAGTGTCTCACAGTGTTGTCTAGGCCGGCCTCAAAATCCTGGGCTGAAGCAATCCTCCTGCAATGGCCTCCCAAAGTGCTGGGTTTACAGGTATGAGCCACCATGTCTGGCCTATCTGGATTCCTTACTGGGTAAGTAGTTTAGTAATAATGGTGTATTAGTGTATTATCATGCTGCTATAAAGAACTACACGAGACTGGGTAATTTATAAAGAAATGAGGTTTAATTGACTCACAGTCCCACATAGCTTAAGACACCTCAGGAAACTTACAATCATGGCTGAAGGTGAAGGGGAAGCAAGGCACATTTTGCCATAGCAGAGCAGGAGAGACACAGAAAAGGGGTAAGTGCCACACTTTTAAACTATGAAATCTCATGAGAATTCACTATCACAAGAACAGCAAGGAGGAACTCCACCCCCATGATCCAATCACCTCCCACCAAGCCCCTTCCCTGACACATGGGAATTACAATTTGACATGAGATTTGGGTGGGACACAGAGCCAAGCCATATCAAATGGTAACACTTATCTATATATGACTAGAATGTAACAATATTTTAATACATCAATTTACACTCCACAAATATTTTATTAAAAATATACATTTTTTTCTTTTTTTAATATATATTTTATTGCACTTTAGGTTCTGGGGTACATGTGAAGAACATGCAGGATTGTTGCATAGGTACATACATGACATACGTGGTTTGCTGCCTCCATCCCCATCACCTACATCTGGCATTTCTCCCCATGTTATCACTCCCCAACTCCCTACCCCCCACTGTCCCTCCCCTAGTCCCCCGCAACAGACCTCAGTGTGTGGTGCTGCCCTCCCTGTGTCCATGTGTTCTCGTTGTTCAACACCCGCCTATGAGTGAGAACATGCAGTGTTTGGTTTTCTGTTCTTGTGTCAGTTTGCTGAGAATGATGGTTTCCAGGTTCATCCATGTTCCTACAAAGGACACAAACTCGTTTTTTATGGCTACATAGTATTCTATGGTGTATATGTGCCACGTTTTCCCTGTGCCACATTTTCCCTGTTCAGTCTATCATCGATGGGCATTTGGGTTGGTTCCAAGTCTTTGCTATTGTAAACAGTGCTACAATGAACATACGTGTGCATGTGTCTTTATAATAGAATGATTTCTAATCCTTGGATATATACCCAGTAATGGGATTGCTGGGTCAAATGAAATTTCTATTTCTAGGTCCTTGAGGAATTGCCACGCTGTCTTCCACATGTTTGAACTAATTTACACCCCCACCAATAGTGTAAAAGTGTTCCTATTTCTCCACGTCCTCTCCGGCATCTGTTGTCTCCAGATTTTTTAAATGATCGCCATTCTAACTGGCGTGAGGTAGTATCTCAATGTAGTTTTGATTTGCATTTCTCTAATGACCAGTGATGATGAGCATTTTTTCATATGTTTGTTGGTCTCATATATATCCTCTTTTGTAAAGTGTCTGTTCATATCCTTTGCCCACTTTTGAATGGGTTTGTTTGTTTGTTTCTTGTAAATCTGATTTAGTTCTTTGTAGATTCTGAATATTAACCCTTTGTCAGATGGGTAGATTGCAAAAATATTTTCCCATTCTGTTGGTTGCTGATTCACTCTAATAATTGTTTCTTTTGCTGTGCAGAAGCTATGGAGTTTGATTAGATCCCATTTGCCTATTTTGGCTTTTGTTGCCAATGCTTTTGGTGTTTTCATCATGAAGTCCTTGCCTATGCCTATGTCCTGAATGGTTTTGCCTAGGTTTTCTTCTAGGGTTTTTATGGTGTTAGGTCTTATGTTTAAGTCTTTAATCCATCTGGAGTTAATTTTAGGGTAAGGTGTCAGGAAGGGGTCCAATTTCTGCCTTCTGCACATGGCTAGCCAGTTTTCCCAATACCATTTATTAAACAGGGAATCCTTTCCCCATTGCTTATTTTTCTCAGATTTGTCAAAGATCAGATGGTTGTAGATGTGTGGCATTGCCTCCGAGGCCTCTGTTCTGTTCCATTGGTCTATATCTCTGTTTTGGTACCAGTACCATGCTGTTTTCATTACTATAGCCTTGTAGTATAGTTTGAAGTCAGGTAGTGTGATGCCTCCAGCTTTGTTCTTTTTGCTTAGAATTGACTTGGCTATGCAGTCTCTCTTTTGGTACCATATGACATTTTTTTCTTAAAGCTAAAAAAAGAAAAACACTATGTGTGGGAAATTTTAAACACCTCATTAAAATTATTAAATTAAGTGTACATTTACATAAGATTATGATGGGTTCCAGTGAAAAAAATCAACACATACAATATTTCTCTTATATAGCATACTCATATAACCTAATGACACTTTGCATTCGTGTTTGCTATGTTTATGACTATTCAACCTAATTGCTCATTTTGAAGTTAGCGTCCTAGTACACAGTGTTTCTGCAACTGAATATTTTCAAAAAAATTTTGTTGTATCAGAAATAAGAATTTTAGTATAGTATTACTAGAGAAAGTTTCTAGTCTCAATTCCCAAACTGGTATATTTCCAGTGAGCTAAAATATCTGATATATAACCAAAAATGAATCATTTTGAAAGCTACGACTTATTCAAAATAGTCATAAGATGTTTCAAATGTCGAATATGTGCTGCTCACTAAGATGGTCCTTCATTTCTGGGCAAAATATTTCTCATGTTTACAAAGTTTCTCCCCTTCACTTTTTTTTTTTTTTTTTTTTTTTTTTNTCTCCCAGCTGGAGTGCAGTGGTGTGATCTCAGATCACTGCAACCTCTGCCTCCTGGGTTCCAGCGATTCTCCAGCCTCAGCCTCCCAAGTAGCTGGGATTACAGGCACCACCACCATGCCCTCCTAATTTTTTATATTTTAGTAGAGACGAGGTTTCACCATGTTGCACAGGGTGGTCTTAAACTCCTGAGCTCAGGCAATCCACCCACCTCGGCCTTCCAAAGTGCTTGGATTACAGGCATGTGCCACCATGCCCAGCCCTCCTTCACTGTTTTGTTTGTTTGTTTGGTTGGTTGGTTTTGAGATGGCATCTTGTTCTGTCGCCCAGGCTGGAGTGCAGTGACTTGATCTCAGCTCACTGCAACCTCTACCTCCCAGTTTCAAGCAGTTCTCCTACCTCAGCCTCCTGAGTAGCTGGGATTACAGGCATGCATCACCATGCCTGGCTAATTTTTTGTGTTTTTAGTAGAGACAGGGTTTCTCCATGTTGATCAAGCTAGTCTCGATCTCCCGACCTCACAATCCACCCACCTCAGCCTCCCAAAGTGCTGGGATTACAGGCGTGAGCTACCACACCCAGCCCTCCCTTCACTGTTTTTAATGTAAGCTGAGTAGGTCAAGTAAACAAAGGTTTCTGGGCCAGGTGTGGTGGCTCACGCCTGTAATCCCAGCACTTTGGGAGGCCAAGGTGGGCGGATCATGAGGTCAGGAGTTCGAGACCAGCCTGGCCAACATTGCGAAACACCGTCTCTACTAAAAATACAAAAATTAGCTGGGCATAGTGGTGGGCACCTGTAATTCCAGCTACTCAGGAGGTTGGGGCAGGAGAATCACTTAAACCCGGGAGGTAGAGGTTGCAGTGAGCCAAGATCGTGCCATTGCACTCCAATCTGGTGACCAGAGCAAGATTCTGTCTCAACAACAACAACAACAAAAAAGGCCCCCGGCTCGGCGGTCACAGCCCGCGTGGACGCTCCGAGCGCCCACCGACGAACGGGACCGCCTCCCTGGCGGGCGGGCGAGCGGGCGGCAGCGCCCGGACCGCAGCGCGAGGGTTAAGTGGCCCAAGTAAACCTAGTTCGGCAATCGGCGCCGGAGATTCGCAAGCCCAGCGCCCTGCGCGGCCGCCCGCCGGCCTCCCGCCAGCCTCACGCCAGCCCGCCCCAACCTGCGGCTCCGCTGCCCAGCGGCGCCCAAGTCAGCCCTGCGGCAGGAAAGCATACAGGGAGACACCAGGCATCTCAATGGAGAGGAGGGCGCAGGCGGGAGGGAAGACTCGATCCTCGTCAATGGGGCCTGCCGTAACAAGTCCTCCGACTCGCCCCCAATCCTGGAGGCCATCCGCACCCCCGAGATCAGAGGCCGAAGATCAAGCTTGAGACTCTCCAAGAGGGAGGTGTCCAGTCTGCTAAGCTATACGCAGGACTTGACAGGCAATGGCGATGGGGAAGATGGGGATGGTTCTGACACCCCAGTGATGCCGAAGCTCTTCCAGGAAACCAGGACTCGGTCAGAAAGCCCAGCTGTCCAAACCCGAAATAACAACAGTGCCTCCAGCAGGGAGAGGCACCGGCCTTCCCCACGTTCCACCCGAGGCCGGCAGGGCCGCAGCCATGTGGAGGAGTCCCCAGTGGAGTTCCCGGCTACCAGGTCCATGAGACGGCGGGCGACAGCATCGGCAGGCATGCCATGGTCGTCCCCTCCCAGCCCTTACCTCACCATTGACCTGACAGACGATACAGAGGACACAGATGTGATGCCCCAGAGCAGCAGTACCCCCTACGCCCGCCTAGCCCAGGACAGCCAGCAGGAGGGCATGGAGTCCCCGCAGGTGGAGGCAGACAGTAGAGATGGAGACAGTTCAGAGTATCAGGATGGGAAGGAGTTTGGAATAGGGGACCTCGTGTGGGGGAAGATCAAGGGCTTCTCCTGGTGGCCCGCCATGGTGGTATCTTGGAAGGCCACCTCCAAGCGACAGGCCATGTCGGGCATGCGGTGGGTCCAGTGGTTTGGCGATGGCAAGTTCTCCGAGATCTCTGCAGACAAACTGGTGGCACTGGGGCTGTTCAGCCAGCACTTTAATTTGGCCACCTTCAATAAGCTCGTCTCCTATCGAAAAGCCATGTACCATGCTCTCGAGAAAGCTAGGGTGCAAGCAGGCAAGACCTTCCCCAGCAGCCCTGGAGACTCATTGGAGGACCAGCTGAAGCCCATGCTGGAGTGGGCCCACGGGGGCTTCAAGCCCACTGGGATCGAGGGCCTCAAACCCAACAACATGCAACCAGTGGTTAATAAGTCGAAGGTGCATCATGCAGGCAGTAGGAAATTAGAATCAAAGAAATACGAGAACAAGACTCAAAGACGCACAGCTGACTACTCAGCCGCCTCTGACTACTGCCCCCCACCCAAGCGCCTCAAGACAAATTGCTATAACAACGGCAAAGACCTAGGGGATAAAGATCAGACCTGAGAACAAATGGCTTCAGATGTTCCCAACAACAAGAGCAGCCTGGAAGAAGGCTGTTTGTCTTGTGGCAGGAAAAATCCCGTGTCCTTTCACCCTGTCTTTGAGGGGGGCCTCTGTCAGACATGCCGGGATCAGTTCCTCGCGCTGTTTTACAAGTATGGTGATGATGGCTATCAGTCTTACTGCACTGTGTGCTGTGAGGGCCGAGAGCTGCTGCTCTGCAGCAACACGAGCTGCTGCCTGTGCTTCTGTGTGGAGTGCTTGGAGGTGCTGGTGGGCACAGGAACAGCGGCCGAGGCCAAGCTGCAGGAGCCCTGGAGCTGCTACATGAGTCTCCCGCAGCGCTGTCACGGCATCCTGCGGCGCCGGAAGGACTGGAACGTGCGCCTACAGGCCTTCTTCACCAGTGACACGGGGCTTGAATACGAAGCCCCCAAGCTGTACCCTGCCATTCCCGCAGCCCGAAGGCGGCCCATTCAAGTCCTATCTCTGTTTGATGGAATCGCAAAGGCTACCTAGTCCTCAAAGAGTTGGGCATAAAGGTGGGAAAGTACGTCGCCTCCGAAGCGTGTGAGAAGTCCATCGCTGTTGGAACCATGAAGCACGAGGGGCATATCAAATACGTGAACGACGTGAGGAACATCACAAAGAAAAGTATTGAAGAATGGGGCCCATTTGACTTGGTGATAGGTGGAAGCCCATGCAATGATCTCTCAAATGTGAATCCAGCCAGGAAAGGCCTATATGAGGGCACTGGCCGGCTCTTCTTTGAATTTTACCACCTGCTGAATTACTCACGCCCCAGGGAGGGTGATGACCGGCCGCTCTTCTGGATGTTTGAGAATGTTGTAGCCATGAAGGTTGGCGACAAGAGGGACATCTCGCGGTTCCTGGAGTGTAATCCAGTGATGATTGATGCCATCAAAGTTTCTGCTGCTCACAGGGCCCGATATTTTTGGGGCAATCTTCCTGGGATGAACAGGCCCGTGAGAGCATCAAAGAATGATAAACTCGAGCTGCAGGACTGCTTGGAATACAATAGGATAGCCAAGTTAAAGAAAGGACAGACAATAACCACCAAGTCGAACTCAATCAAACAGGGGAAAAACCAACTTTTCCCTGTTGTCATGAATGGCAAAGAAGATGTTCTGTGGTGCACTGAGCTCGAAAGGATCGTTGGCTTTCCTGTGCACTACACAGACGTTTCCAACATGGGCCGTGGCGCCCGCCCAGAAGCTGCTGGGAAGGTCCTGGAGTGTGCCCGTCATCCGATACCCCTTCGCCCCTCTAAAGGACTACTTTGCATGCGAATAGTTCCAGCCAGGCTCCAAATCCACTGGGTGTGTGGCAGAGTCAGGACCCAGGAGGTGTGATTCCTGAAGGAATCCCCAGGCCCTGCTCTTCCTCAGCTCTGTGGGCCATAGCACGTACCTCAGTTCCCTCCTCCTCAGTGGGGGCAGAGCCACCTGACTCTCTTGCAGGGGGAGCCCAAGGTGCCGCCTCCTGGTGCACAATTCAGACCTGGCTGCTTGGAGCAGCCAAACACGGTGCTCATTTTTTCCTTCTCTTAAAACTTTAAAACTTGAAGTAGGTAGCAGCGTGGCTTTTTCTTTCCTTCCTGGATCTACCACTCAGAGAAACAATGGCTGAGATACCAAAACCACAGTGCCGACAGCTCTCCAATACTCAGGTTAATGCTGAAAAATCACCCAAGACAGTTATTGCAAGACTTTAATTTCTGAAAACTGGCTGCGACTCTGTTGCCAGGCGTGTGCAGTTGTAGGCATGTAACTACAGGACATTTTTAAGGGTCCAGGATGGTTTTTTTCAGGGAAAGCAGAAGAGGAAATATTGTATATGTCTTTTACCCGGCACATTCCCCTTGCCTAAATACAAGATGTGGAGTCTGCACGGGACCCATTAGAGTATTTTCCATAATGATGATGATTTCAGCAGGGATGACATCATCATCACATTCAGGGCTATTTTTTCCCCCACAAACCCAAGGGCAGGGGCCACTCTTAGCTAAATCCCTCCCAGTGACTGCAATAGAACCGTCTGGGGAGCTCAGGAAGGGGTGTGCTGAGTTCTATAATATAAGCTGCCACATATTATGTAGACAACTACAGCTCCTCCATACCTCCCTCTTCCCTAGGAGAAGAGTGTGAAGGAAGGAGCTTAGATAAGACACTCCCTCAAACCCATCCCCTCTCCAAGAGACCTACCCTCCACTGGCACAGGTCCCCAGATTAGAAGTCTGCTACCTTCATTCCTCATCTTTTTACTAAACTCAGATGCAGTGACAGCAGTCAGGGACAGAAGCACACTTCTCACACCTTTCCCTCATCTAAGAGATGACAGGGAAAATGGCAATGAAAGCTCAGTTCTCCCTCTGGAGATTTTTAAATTTTTTTTTATTCCACGATAAGTCATTTTTAGGGGGAATGGGAGTTCAGAAGCTGCATTTCAGAAATGCTATAGTAATGGTTTTTAACATCTTTTACTCCTCTTACTGGTGCTATTTTGTAGGATAAGGAACAACATTGACAAGTTTTGTGGGGGTTTTTATACACTTTTTAAAAAATCTCAAACTTCTATTTTTATGTTTACCGTTTTCATTAAAATTTTTTTGTAACTGGAGACACAACATAACAAATATGGGGAAAAAACTGTGCCTTGTTTCAACAGTTTTTGCTAATTTTTAGGCTGAAAGATGACGGATACCTAGAGTTTACCTTATGTTTAATTAAAATCAGTATTTATCTAAAAAAAAAAAAAGGTTTCTAGACTTTCAGAAGATGCTTAGAGGGACTTCTCTCTGTTCTTTCTCAGATTAGTGAACTCTGATAAAAGGCTTTTCCACATTTGTAGATTCATAGGATTTCTGCCTTCTATGTGTTTTCTGATGTGCTATGAGTGATGAGTTCTGGTAGAAGGTCTTCTCACATTGAGAACATTTGTAGGGTTTCTCTCCTGTGTGGGTTCTCCAATATACTGTGAGGGATGACTTGTGGTAAAAAGTTTTGCTGCATTAGCTACATTTATGAAGTTTCTCTCCTGAGTGAGTTCTTTGATGTTTAGTAAGAGCTGATTTCTGGTTAAATGTTTTGCTGCATTGAATACATTTTATATGGCTTCTCTTTTTAATGTCTTTTTTGATGTACAATAAGGGACAACTTCTGGGAAAAACTTTTCCCACATTCATTACATTTATATGGATTCTCCCCATGTGCATTCTCTGATGTACTATAAGAGATGACTTCTGGAAAAAGGTTTTCCCACATTCATTGCATTCACAGGGTTTTTCCCATGAGTGAGTTCTCTGATGCACAATAAGTTTTGACTTCACTGTGAAAGACTTCCCACATTCATTAAGTTCATAGGGCCTTTCTCCAGTATGAGTTCTCTGATGGTAAGTGAAGTTTGGCTTTTGTGAGAATGTTTTCCCACATTCAGTACATTCACAGGGTCTTACACTTGTGTGTATCCTTTGATGTGCTATGAGGAATGAATTATAAACAAAGTTTTTTCCACATTCTTTACAATCATAGGTTTTCTCCCCTGTGTGAATTCTCTGCTGTACTCGGAGATTTGACTCCTCACAGAATTTTTTTCCACATTCACTACGGTCATAGGGTTTCTCACCTGTGTGTGTTCTCTGATGTACTGTAAGGCCTGACTTTTATCTGAAGGCTTTCCTACATTCAATACACTCATAGAGTTTTTGCCCTGTGTGTATCTGCCAAGGAACTGTAAAACCTGACCTATTTGTGAAGGTTTTCCCACATTCAGTACATTCATAAGGTTTCTCCCCTCTGTGTATCCTTTTATGTGCTATGAGAGATGACCTGTGGCTGAGAGATTTCCCACACTCATTACATTCATAGAGTTTTTCTCCTATGTGTGTTTGCTGATGTTTAGGGAGAACTGACATATGCCAAAAAGAACTCCCATAATGACTATTTTGAAAGGTTTTCTTTTCTGTGTATGTATGCTGAGAGAGACTTGGTTTCTTAAAGATTTCCCTACATTCATTATATTCAAAGCTTGTTTTGCCTTTTTGAGTTCTTTCAGTGTCAATGAAGGGTGACTTCCTGCCAAAATTATTCCCACACTCATAGTATTTTTTCCCTATGTTTTCTCTACAGTGTCTATGGGACTTCATATGTAAATGCTCTAGAATCGCCCAGGCATCTGGTCTGAAAGTAATCCTGAGGGCATACATCTCACTCCCTCAGGATTAGACAAAAGAAACCAAACAGGAAAAAAGAGGAGAGGAATCTGCAAATAAAAACACACTAATCTGGCACTTTAGAAATGTGACTGTCAAAACTGGATAAAGTGGAATAAACACAAAATGCAACAAATCATACTTTTGGATGAATTATAGAGGCATGAAGGGGAATCATAGAAAGGATTGAATAGGGATAATTGCCAGAAAGAAAATATTAGGCAATAGTGTTTGAGGGGCAAGAGCAAAGGAAAAATTAAGTTTGGAGGAGGCAAATGTGTACCTAAGTTTTTATCTTCTGCTGTAAAATACTCACTAATACATATGTTTCTAATGCATCACTGCATCTTTTCTTTTCTTTATTTTATTTTATTTTATTTTTATTTTTTTCAGACAGAGTCTAGCTCTGTTGCCCAGTCTGGACTGCAGTGCTGCAATCTTGGCTCATTGCAACCTCTCCTTCCCAGGTTCAAGTGATTCTCCTGCCTCATCCTCTCAAGTAGCTGGGATTACAGGCACCTGCCACCACACCTGGCTAATTTTTGTATTTTTTTTCCTTTTGAGATGGAGTCTTACTCTGTCATGCCCAGGCTGAAGGGCAGTTGCATGATCTTGGCTCACTGCAATCTCCACCTCCTGGGTTCAAGTGATTCTCCAGCCTCAGCCTCCTGAGTAGCTGGGATTACAGGCACCCACCACCATGCCCAGCTGATTTTTGTATTTTCAGTAGAGACAGGGTTTTGCTATCTTGGCCAAGCTGGTCTCAAACTCCTGACCTCAGGTGATCTGCCCACCTCAGCTTCCAAAGTACTGTGATTACAGGCATAAGCAACCACACCTGGCCCCTAATTTTTGTGTTTTTAGTAGAGATGGGATTTCATCATATTGGCCAGACTGGTCTCAAACTCCTGACATCAAGTGATCTGCCTGCCTCAGCCTCCCAAAGTGCTGGGATTACAGGCAAGAGCCACCTTGCCTGGCTCTTCTTTTCTCTTCCATTCATCAACACCAAATTACAATTTCAGAGAGAAATAATTTTTCATGTGCAAAAGAAAACTACTATTGTCCAGACAGTTATTCTCACTCTAGCTGATTCACACAAAAAGCCAATGTCCAGAAAAAGCATACATGTAGGCTATGGAAACAAGATCACGTATGTAGTTTTATTCTGCTGTTGTATCTTTATTTTCTTCTACCACAGTTGTCATTAATGAACCTGCCATAGCCATCAAATCATAAAATTTCCCTATTTGTCAATTTATTTCATAAACAGTCTTGTACCTCACACAACTCTACTTTTTTCATAGTCATCCTTTTCATATATATAATGTATATTATATATATAACTGTATATATTACATACATAAATATACATATATAATTTTTTAACCATTTATTTATTTCAGCCTTTCTGGTTTCTCTTTCCAGTGTGAACTTTAAAGACCATAATTTTCAATCTAATCTCAGAATCTTTACTGATCTTCATACAGTTAATCCTCATTATTCATGGATTTTGTGACTACAAATTTATCTACTCATTAAAACTTATCTGTAAGCCCAAAATCAATACTCTTGGTTCTGTCGTTATCAAGTACATGCACTGAGCACTTAAAAATTTCAGTCAGCTAACATACATATTCCCTGGTGAAACGGAAAAAGGCAATACTCTGGCTTCTTGTTTCAGTTCTTGTAGTATAAACAAGTGCCCTTCCCTGGTACAGGCGGTGCCACACTTTTCAGTTTTCTGGGGTTTGCTGGTGATTTCACTGTTTAGAATAGTCCCCTACTGTAGGACTGAAGAACTGTCTCTCATGTTCCTAAGTGCAAGAAGGATGTGATGTGCCTGTGGAAAAAATGTGTGTGTTAAATAAGCTTTATTCAGGCATGAGTTGTAGTGCCGTTGGCCATAAATTCAATATTAAGAAATCAACTATGTATATTAAATGAGATATTTTTTAAAAGAAACCCATATAAAACAAGATTATGTATGGATTGGCTAACAAAAATGTGGGCAGAAGCTGGCAGGAACTAATCCTGTGTTTCTTCTGGAAGCAATGATTCAATATTACTTAATATTCAATATCACTTAATATTCATTAAGTGCTTGTGGTAACTTTCCAGAACATAAATACCATGAATCATGATAATCAACTGTATCTTTTTATTATGAAGTTTCCTCTGACAACTGTCACCCTGTTCCTACCCAGATTCAACACAATATTAAAAATACTATGGAAAAAAAAACAATACTATGGTCAAACATATACATACACACATATATATACATGTATTATATACATATATGTAGGTAATGTATACACACATGCATATGTAATATGTTATATGTGTATATGTGTAATAGATTACCTACATATGTATGTATATACATATATGTATATATGTAATAGATTGCCTACATGTATGTGTGTATATACACATATATGTAGGTAATCTATTACATATATATACACATATATTACACATGCATGTGTGTATACATTACTACATATATGTATATATCCCAGCATATATATGTATATACATACATATGTATATACATATGTAATATATGTAGGTAATATATATATTAATTTGTAATATATATGTATATACACATGAATATGTATACATATATACGTATATACATACATACACACATACATTCCATTAGTTCTGTATGTATGTACATATGTATGTATATATGTAATATATAACATATATGTGTGTGTAATATATATTATATACATACATATACATATATGTATTAATATAGTATATACATACATATATACATATATGTATTACTATATCATATACATATATACATATATGTGGGTAATATATCATATACATACATATATACATATATGTAGGTAATATATACATACACATATACATATTACATATTGCATATGTATATATGTATGTAATATTACATATTACACATGTATATGTGTATGTATGTAATATATTGCCTACATATATGTAATATATATTACATATATAGGTACATACACACACATACATTTCATTAGTTCTGTCCCTCTAGAGAACCCCAATACAGATTTTCATACCAGGAATCATTTTAGAGGAACAGAATATTAGAAATGGAGTTCTTTTGTTGGTTTTGGGGTTTCAGGAGTTGGCTGCTTAATATGATTGGACCCCAAAACGCTAAAGACTCTACTTCTAATAGTATGAAGAACACTGGTAGTCCTTGACATGAACTGTTTAGAGAGTTATGCAAAATAAATGCATTTGACACTCCTGAGTCATTACTCATGAGAGGCAAAGAGTTTAGTGACACTATATATAATACCTTTGACTATATGTGGAAACCAAGGAACAAAATGAAGCCAGTTGTTTGCTCCTACATTCAAGGGACCAAGTGATGAAAGAAAGTGATGAACTAGGCCAGGCATGGTGGCTAAAGCCTGTAATCCCAGCACTTTGGGAGGCTGAAGCATGCAGATCATGAGGTCAGGAGATCAAGACCATCCTGGCCAACATGGTGAAACCCTGTCACTAGTAAAAAACAAAAAAAAAA